TTAAAATGCACCTATAGACTTTGCCGGTCACCGTGTGTTTTTTTCGAGGGGGGACCTGTGCGTCGAGGGGGAACCTGTGCTTCGAGGGGGGGACCCGCCTCAATGTACAGGTCCCCTCTCAATACACCCCCCCCCTATAACAGCTGCAGGCAAATATCCTTCCCAGGACCCCCTGTCTGCCTTTGCCACTGAATATCCTGATCACACAGATACATGCAGGAGCCAGTCAGAGCACCTCCTGATGTTGTGAAAGCTTTGACTGGCTGCTGTACCCCAGAAAAAGAACTGCAGAGAGCACTCAGACTACCCTGTGCAAGTGTTTGGTTGATGTCACTCTTGTGACCTGGCAACAACAGGATCAGTAAACATGGCTGTGGTGGGGGAACACAACATTTGCACAGGTTGCTCTGTCGCCTTCTGGATGGGCGAGACGTTGCTGCCTTGTTGATGGAAACGCTGCAGGACGGATCTCACCAACAAGCCAAGAGGTGCGTCGCTCATCCAGCGATTGAGGCGTCAACCAAACCGAGGAGCCGGACAACAGAGAAAGTTGTATGCCAGTCCGAGGAAAAGTCTCTCACCTCTGGAAGAGTTTGGTTTTATTTCTGAAGGTGGACAACTTATCTATTTCCCTCCGATCCAAATACCAGCCAATCAGCATCCCGGCTGGCAGAAAGGAGAAGGTCCACCATTCCCGGACAATGGTCAGAAACTTCATGATACCTGAGAAAGAGAAGAGGAAATGTTAGGGGGGACCTGTGCATTGAGGGGGAACCTGTGCGTGAGGGGGGACCTGTGCGAGGGGGGACCTGTGCGTCGAGGGGGGACCTGTGCGTCGAGGGGGGACCTGCCTCAATGTACAGGTCCCCTTTCAATGCACAGGCCCCGTCTCAATGTATGGGTCCCCCCTCAATGTACAGGTCCATTGAGGGGGAATCTGTGCATTGAGGGGGGGGGGGGGGGCCTGTACATTGAGAGGGGGGGCCTGTACATTGAGGGGGGGGGGGGGCCTGTACATTGAGGTACAGGATATGTTCTCTCACTTGTCTTCCCAAGATACCGAGAGACTTCTATCTGAGACCATCACAGGTCCTACCCTCTCCTGAGGATCTCTCCAGACCTATACTTCCAATTGTCTTTGGTGGCCCATAATTCCACCCTTCCACCTGCCTCCTGGGGCCCCTTCTGTTCCTGCCCCCTATCCATCCTCCAGGGCCCCCCCTCTTCTTCTATTATTCCAACTGCCTCCCAAGGACCGCTCTGGTCCCACTATCATCTGTCTCTCCAGAACCCCTCCGGCCCTACTTTCTTGTAAGTCTCCCAGGATCACAACATGACCACCATGCCACCTGTAGCTGCTGAGGAACTACAACTCCCATCATCTTACAGCCTAAACAGTCAGGTCATGCTGGGGCTGATAACTTTATTAGGTGTCAGTGGACTGCAGCTTCCTGCCTGGATCATAAGGACGGCCCTCATCCTGGTCCCCCCATCACCGCTCCCAGTACACTCCCTGGCCTCCCCTAAAACCCTCCAACTTTACCAGTCACTCTCCCCTGGCCCTTCCAGGTCCCCGCCCCCAGCACACCACCTGGCCTTTCTGCTCCCAGGGCACCCTTTGGCCTTTCTGATCCCCGCCCCCAGGGCACCATCTAGCCTTCCCATTCCACGCCCCCAGTGCACCCCTTAGCCTTTTTGATCCCTGCCCCCAACGCACCCCTTGGCCCTCCCGGTCCCTGCCCTCAGTGTACCCCCTGGCCCTCCCAGTCCCTGCCCTCAGCGCACACCCCTGGCCTTTCTGCTCCCCGCCCCCAGTGCACCCCCTGGCCTTTCTGCTCCCGTCCCCAGGAACCCCCCTGGCCTTTCTGCTCCCCACCCCCATGCACCCCCTGACCTTTGTGCTCCCCGCCCCCAGGGAACCCCCTGGCCTTTCTGCTCCCCTCCCCCAGGGAACCCCCTGGCCTTTGTGCTCCCCCGCCCCCAGGGAACCCCCTAGTCTTTCTCCTCTCCGCCCCCAGGGAACCCCCTGGCCTGTCTGCTCCCCGCCCCCAGTGCTCCCTCTTTTAGACCCCCCACGGACACTAGAAGAGCCCACTGTACACACAACTGGGAGAATATAGAACCCCCATCATATGTACCCGGATGTCTCAGTGCCCGGGACTCGGCTGTCAGATCACACGGCGCCTCTCACCGGAGAACAGTCCAATGTGTGCTGTGTGTCTACAGAGGACACTGGAAGAGTCCACTATGCTATTCGGGGGGGATGATATCGGAAAATAACCCCCCCCCTTGGATAATACAGAGCTAACAATACCGGCCCTCCGAATTAGCGCTGATATAGGGGGGACAGCACCCGGACACGGCTGTTCGAGGAGGAGAGATAACCGAAATATGGAATTAACCTCCCCCCCCCCCCCCCCCCCCCGGATAACAGTTAGACGCGCCCTCCAAGCCCGGAAGAGACACTGGGAGAGACCACTCTGTCCTGGGGGGGTGATATCAGAATACCGATTCCTGAGAAAGCCGCGCCGGGGGGGGGGGGGGGGTGTTACCCGTCTATTGTAGAGAAGTCGACACACAACTGGCGGGGGCGGTGTACGCTGCCTCTGTCCGGGACATCAGCAGTCTCCCACCCCTACGCGGTGGACATTTGGACGGTGCCGCTCAGTTTCCGGTCCTGCGCATGGAGGGCCGGTGAAGCCGGTGTATGGGGTGAGTGGGGAACGTTGAGGGCCGGAGTCCTGCTACAGGTAACCGGCTGAGGTCTTGCCGAGCGGGGTTCCGTCTACGGAGGGCCAAGCGGCTGTTGCCTATAGCAACCAGCAGGGGTTGCTATGGAGACCCTCACCTGTGAAGGGCCGCTGTTGCTCAGGGCAACCACCTTAAAGGGGCCCTGTCATGAGACAGACTCAGTGGCTGTCATGCTGATCCTCCAGCTTCCTGCTTGTGTTGGAGTCAGAGGAGCGGCATGACAGCCAGGCAGCCAGCATTTCCACGCGGAGGTCAGCCATGTGAACCCGTCAGGGCCGGAATAAGAGGGCTGCCATTGGTTGGCTGTTGCTGGTCATGCTGATCCTGGCCGATGTGGAGATTTATCACCGCATTGGCCCAGCTTCTTGCGTCAATCACCACGGGGGCCCAGCCACACCTTTCTAGCGTGTTGTGGAAATGCGCGTGCCACCACAGCATGTGGTAAAAAGTAACGTTGCCATGGTTACAGGCTGTCAAGAATGGCACACGGTCCCTTTTTTTTAAGGGTGGGGGGGGGTGTACGACGCCGTGGTGCATTGCCAGCCCATGCATTTCAATGGACTGACTTAAAGGGTTAGTCCACCTTTACTAGAGGTGCGCCGAAATGGGTGGGGGTAACATGACAACATGGGGGACATTTCAGGGAGGGGGGGATACATTGTAACATGACAACATGGGGGACATTTCAGGGGGGGGAGGGGGGGATTACATTGTAACATGACAACATGGGGGACATTTCAGGGGAGGGGGGATACATTGTAACATGACAACATGGGGGACATTTCACGGGGAGGGGGGGATACATTGTAACATGACAACATGGGGGACATTTCAGGGGAGGGGATACATTGTAACATGACAACATGGGGGACATTTCAGGGGAGAGGGGGGGGAATACATTTGGAACATGGGGGACATTTCAGGGGAGTGGGGGGGGGGATACATTGTAACATGACAACATGGGGGACATTTCAGGGGGGGGGGGATACTTGTAACGTGACAACATGGGGGACATTTCAGGGGGGGGGGATACCTTGTAACATGGGGGACAACATGGGGGGGGGGACATTTCTTAAGAGGGGGATACATTGTTGTAACATGGGGGACAACATGGGGGACATTTCAGGGGGGACATTTCAGGGGGGGGGGATACATTGTAACATGATAACATGGGGGACATTTCAGGGGGGAGGGGGATACATTGTAACATGATAACATGGGGGACATTTCAGGGGAGGGGGGGATACATTGTAACATGATCAACAGGGGGGGACATTTCAGGGGGGGAGGGGGGGGGATACATTGTAACATGACAACATCAGGGGGGGGAGGGGGACATTTCAGGGGAGGGGGGGGGGATACATTGTAACATGGGGGACAACATGGGGGACATTTCAGGGGGGAGGGGGGGATACATTGTAACATGATAACATGGGGGACATTTCAGGGGGGGGGGGGGGGATACATTGTAACATAACATGACAACAGGGGGGGGGGGACATTTCAGGGGGGGAGGGGGGGGGATACATTGTAACATGACAACATGGGGGACATTTCAGGGGAAGGGGGGGGGGGATACATTGTAACATGACAACATGGGGATATTTCAGGGGGGGGGGGGGATACATTGTAACATGACAACATGGGGGACATTTCTGAGGAGGGGGGATACATTGTAACATGACAACATGGGGGACAAGAGGTGGGGGGGGACATTTCAGGGGGGAGGAGGGGGATACATTGTAACGTGACAACATGGGGGACATTTCAGGGGGGAGGAGGACTTTTTTAAGGCACTGTCAGTCTGAATGATGGGTTCTCTCGATAGGCCACTCCCACCTTCCTTTCATCTTTTTGAGCCCCCGGGAATACGTACTTTTGGGGTACAGGGGAACATGAAACTTCATCCCCTTTTTCCCCAGAAATGCAATGCTCAGGACTGAGCGGTGGATCTCCGGGTTCAAACGCTGTCTGTGAGGGAAGGGAGGAGTGTATTTCCCTGACATGGAGCTTATACAGGAATTTGATTGCAGGTGATCGGAGCTTCGGGGAGGTGCTAGGAAGGTGGGTGGGTGGGGCACAAGCCGCCTGAATGGGGACCTTTGTGGCAGGATCACCAGGCGTGTGTGGGTAGTTAGTACCCGGGATTATACCTACTTTGATATTCTCATTTTTTGTGTCTAATTGTTTTGCTATTTTTTCTTATTTTCTTTTTTTTTTCTTGTATCAGATTTGCAGCAACTGCCAGGATGACCTCCATCATCAAGCTGACGACGCTCTCTGGAGCGCAGGAGGAGTCGGCCCTCTGCTACTTGCTGCAGGTGGATGAGTTCCGCTTCCTCCTTGACTGTGGCTGGGATGAAAATTTTTCTATGGAGATTATTGAAGCCATCAAAAAGTACGTGTTCCAGGATCGGGGATTCTGTCTAAGGCTCGGTTCATATCTGTGCGGGTGGTGCCGCTGTGGATCCGCACAAAAATCCGTGCACCCGCACAGAGGAAGGCAGACCCGCGGGGGGGTGCCATTAGTTCTAATGGCACGCCTCCCACACTGGAAATTGCAACCGTACCGGGAACCTCGGCTGCGGTTTCCAAAGACGTGCCGGGACTTCTTCCCTGTGTGTCCCAGGCATGGGAGTCCATTCAAATGAATGGGCTCTTGTGTGTGCGCAAAACGCGGCCCGCAGGAACGCACATATGTGAACCGGGGGTAAAGCAAAGGCTGGAGGTCAGTTTTAAGGTGGGTCTGGAGCAGAGGCGGACTGACAACTCATGGGGCCCCTGGGCAATAGGGGATCATGGGGCCCCTGTGTCCTTGCCCAAACTCAAAAAAGCCTATGAAAAAGGTACCAGGGGCATCTCATGGGGCCCCCTACTGACCCTGGGCAATGCCCGAGTTTCCAAATGGTCAGTCCGCCCCTGGTCTGGTGATAAAGTGAACCTGTTGCTTTGGACAAATCACACTTGTTGGGAAGATATAACAACAATGAAGCCGAGAGATAACTGCCTTTACGGTAACCTAAGGATTTCTGTTCCCTTTTCCTCCTAGGTATGTACATCAGGTGGATGCTGTCCTTCTTTCTCATCCAGATCCGCTACACCTCGGGGCTCTCCCCTACGCCGTGGGCAAGCTGGGATTAAACTGTGCTATATATGCTACAATCCCTGTATATAAGATGGGGCAGATGTTTATGTATGACTTGTATCAGGTCAGTATTAGCAGTTCTCGCCTGGCCTATGGTACATTGACGTCCGGGAGGGACTTTTGTCGATCTGGGTGGACGTCATGTGAGATCTGTCCATCAGGCACAGCTGATGACTGATCTGCGTACTGGCCTGTTGCCAGTACCATGTGACTGCTGTGAAGCAGGTCACATGACAGTTGTAAAGAATGGATGTCTTACTTTCATGCCATCCATCGTATACAATTGTGTTACTAGCTGTGATTGGTCACAGTGATCACATAGTACAGACTGGGCCAATCACAGCTAATCACAACAAAGCAAACTGAATGAATCAATTTCATTCAGTAAAATGCTTGTTTATATGAATTTCATTGCTATTAGCAATTATAATGTGTAAAAAAAAAAAAACCCAAAGTCTTAATTTTCCAAAAAATGACAAATGATTTCAACTTTAAAAAAATGCGCCATGCCTCTTACTAAATATCTCAGACTGTCTATATTCCAAATGGGTCATTTGGGGGGGGGGGGGGGGGGGGGGGGTTGTACTGTCCTGGCAACTTTGAGCCTCAAGAAATGAGATCGGCCATCAGGATTGATTGATTTTCGGATATATATATATGCCATAGTTTGTGGACTGTAACTTTCCTACAGACTAAACAATACATACTGATTGGATAAAGAACAATTAGAATATACAGTGGGGATGGAAAGTTTGGGCACCCCAGCTAAAAATGTGTATTAATGTGCATAAAGAAGCCAAGGAAAGATGGAAAAATCTCCAAAAGGCATCAAATTACAGATTAGACATTCTTATAATATGTCAACAAAAGTTAGATTTTATTTCCATCATTTACACTTTCAAAATAACAGAAAACAAAAAAATGGCGTCTGCAAAAGTTTGGGCCCCCTGCAGAGTTAATATCTTGTACTGCCCCCTTTGGCAAGTATCACAGCTTGTAAACGCTTTTTGTAGCCAGCCAAGAGTCTTTCAATTCTTGTTTGAGGTATCTTTGCCCATTCTTCCTTACAAAAGTCTTCCAGTTCTTTGAGATTTCTGGGCTGTCTGTCACGCACTGCTCTTTTAAGGGTCTATCCATAGATTTTCAATGATGTTGAGGTCAGGAGATTGTGAAGGCCATGGCAAAACCTTCAGTTTACGCCTCTTGATGTAATCCCCCGTGGATTTCGAGGGTGTGTTTAGGATCATTATCCATTTGTAGAAGCCATCCTCTCTTTAACTTCAGCTTTTTCACAGATGGCATCAAGTTACCATCCAAAATTTGCTGAAATTTTATTGAATCCATTTTTTCTTCTACTCGTGAGATGTTCCCTGTGCCACTGGCTGCAACACAACCCCAAAGCATGATTGATCCAACCCCATGCTTAACAGTTGGACAGAGGTTCTTTTCATTCAATTCTGTGCCCCTTCTCCAAACGTACCTTTGCTCATTCCGGCCAAAAAGTTAAATTTTAACCTCATTGGTCCACAGAACTTGTTTCCAGTATGCATCAGGCTTGTCTATATGTTCATTTGCAAAGTTCAAACGATGATTTTTGTGGTGAGGACGTAGAAGAGGTTTTCTTCTGATGACTCTTCCATGAAGACCATATTTGTACAAGTATCTCTTTATAGTGGAATAGTGTACCACAACTCCAGTGTCTGCCAGATCTTTCTGGAGGGATCGTGCAGTCAAACGTGGGTTTTGAATTGTTTTTCTCACAATCCTGCGAGCTGTTCTGTCTGATATTTTTCTTGGTCTTCCAGATCTTGCTTTAACTTCCACTGTTCCTGATGACTGCCATTTCTTAATTACATTCCGAACAGAGGATATTGACATCTGAAAATGCTTTGCTATCTTCTTATAGCCTTCTCCAGCTTTGTGAGCGTCAACTATTTTCAGTTTCAGTTTTCTAGACAACTGCTTAGAAGAACCCATGGTGCTGATTGTTGGGGCAAGGTCAGATGAGTCTGGGCATTTAAAACCTTTGAGATTGACATCACCTGGTCTTCCCAGACGATGATTGAGAACAATCCATGACACTGGCAGGTCTCAGCTTGGCAAAGGGGGCAGTGCATGCTATAAATTCTGCAGGGTGCCCAAACTTTTGCAGACGCCATTTTTTTGTCTTCTGTTATTTTGAAAGTGTAAATGATGGAAATAAAATCTAACTTTTGTTGACATATTATAAGAATGTCTAATCTGTAATTTGATGCCTTTTGGAGATTTTTCCATCTTTCCTTGGCTTCTTTATGCACATTAATACAAATTTTTAGCTGGGGTGCCCAAACTTTTTCGATCCCCACTGTACACTGATTTGGTGAAGAACGATTAGAATATACACTGATTTGGTGAACAATTAGAATATGCAGAATATGATTTGATGAAGAACAGTTATAATATACAGTTTTTTAAAATATAATTTTTTATAACAAACAAAGAAAAAAAACTTGTTTTTGTTTTGTTTTTAACATTTTCTGTCTTTTTTTTTTTTTGTTACATTTTTATTTAGCAAAAATAAAAAATGAAAAACTCAGTAATGATCAATCAAATACCACCAAAGGAAAGCTCTGTTTGTGTGAACAAAATGATAAAAATGTAGTTGGGGTACAGTGTTGCATGACCGCGCAGTAGTCATTGATCGTGTGAAAGCTGAAAATTGGCCTGGGCAGGAAGGGGGTGGAAGTGGCCGGTATTGAAGTGGTTAAAGTTGTGACTGTCTTCATATTTCAGTCTCGGCACAACACAGAAGATTTTAATTTGTACACCCTGGATGATGTGGATTCGGCATTTGATAAAATACAGCAGCTGAAATTCTCACAGATCGTCCATCTGAAAGGTAGGCATTGAAGATGTTAAAGCCCCCCCTCTTTGCCGATGCACGTATGCCTTATGTGGGTGGCATGAGGTCACCCCTAAACTTGATGTTAACCAAAATAATCCCTTTTATATTACTGACCGGCTATTTCTTCTGCAGGAAAGGGTCACGGTTTGTCCATCGCCCCACTGCCAGCTGGTCACATGATCGGAGGCACCATATGGAAGATTGTAAAGGACGGAGAGGAGGAGATTGTGTACGCTGTAGATTTCAACCACAAAAGGGAGATGTAAGTCATGGTGTCTCACAGGAGTGCAGATATATATATAATATATATATATATATATATATTTATTTATTTATTTTTTTTTAAATAACAAACATGTCATACTTGCTTGCTCTGTGTAATAGTTTTGCACAGAGCAGCCCCCGATTCTGCTTTTCGGGTCTCCCACCAGTGCTCCATGCTCCTCCCTCCCGCCAAGTGCCCCCCAGAGCAAGCAGCTTGCTATGGGGCACCCAAACAGACTCACTCCCGAGCCACTGCTCTTTGTCCATTCACACACACAGACGTGGCTTGCCCCCCCCCCCCTCGCATTGGCTCACTGGCTGTGATTGACAGTAGCAGGAGCCAGTGGCTCCCCCCCCCACATTGGCTCACTGGCTATGATTGACAGTAGCAGGAGCTAGTGGCTCCCCCCCTCGCATTGGCTCACTGGCTGTGATTGGCAGGAGCCAGTGGCTCCCCCCCCCCCCCCCCCTTGCATCGGCTCACTGGCTGTGATTGACAGTAGCTGGAGCCAGTGGCTTCCCCCCCCCCCCCCTCGCATTGGCTCACTGGCTGTGATTGACAGTAGCAGGAGCCAGTGGCTCCCCCCCTCACATTGGCTCACTGGCTATGATTGACAGTAGCTGGAGCCAGTGGCTCCCCCCCCCCCCCCTCGCATTGGCTCACTGGCTGTGATTGACAGTAGCAGGAGCCAGTGGCTCCCCCCCTCGCATTGGCTCACTGGCTATGATTGACAGTAGCTGGAGCCAGTGGCTTCCCCTCCCCCTCGCATTGGCTCACTGGCTGTGATTGACAGTAGCAGGAGCCAGTGGCTCCCCCCTCCCCCCCTCACATTGGCTCACTGGCTATGATTGACAGTATCTGGAGCCAGTGGCTCCCCCCCCCCCCCCCCCCGCATTGGCTCACTGGCTGTGATTGACAGTAGCAGGAGCCAGTGGCTCCCCCCCCCTCGCAATGGCTCACTGGCTGTGATTGACAGTAGCAGGAGCCAGTGGCTCCCCCTCCCCCGCTCGCATTGGCTCACTGGCTGTGATTGACAGTAGCAGGAGCCAGTGGGTTCCCCCCCCCCCCCCTCGCATTTGCTCACTGGCTGTGATTGACAGTAGCAGGAGCCAGTGGCTTCCTCCCCCCCCTCGCATTGGCTCACTGGCTGTGATTGACAGTAGCAGGAGCCAATGGCTGTGATCTTAGCCAATGAGGAGTTGGAGACCCGGGACAGCCAAGGTTCCTGTGCACATCGCTGGACCTTGGGGCTCAGGTAAGAGGGAGACTGGGGGGGTTGGTGCAGAAGGGTTTTTACCTTCATGCATTCTATACATGGAGGTAAAAAAAACCTTCAGCCTTTACAACCACTTTAAAGGCTAAGTTCACCTTAACTAGCTGCCGACCGCAGATAGCTGAATGACGGCTGCACTGCGGCCGGCCAGTTCTGGGTGGACGTCATATGACGTCCTCCCAGAACGTGCTCTCTGGGGCGCGCACCCGGCGATCTCTGTGATCGCTGTGTCCTACGGAGACAGCTGATCACGTGATGTGGTAAAAGGCCAATCACAGTGGCCTTTTACCACGTGATTAGCGGTGTCCAATGACACGCTGATCAGAGGAAAATGCAAGTGCCGGTTCTCGGCTGCACTTTCCTCACGCTGTCAGATCGTGAGGAAAGTACTGCCGAGAACCGGCAGTTGTCAGAGTGGGGATCGGCACCGATCATCAGGGCACTGATGATCAGTGCCCTGATGATCGGTGCCCAGCAGTGCCACCCGCAAGCTCCGCCCACCTGTGCCCAGCAGTGCGCCCACTAGCTCCGCCCACCTGTGCCCAGCAGTGCACCCACCTGTGCCCAGCAGTGCCCCCACCTGTGCCACTCTGCAGTGTCACACACCTGTGCCCAGAAGTGCCACCCACCTGTGCCCACCCACCTGTGCCCACCCACCTGTGCTGCCAGTCAGTGCCACCAGTCAGTGCCCAGGGGTTGTGCCAGTCAGTGCGCCAGTCAGTGCTCAGCAGTGATGCCAGTCAGTGCCGTCTATCAGTACCCATCATCAGTGTCACCTATCAGTGACGCCTATCAGTGCTGCAAATTAGTGCCGCCTATCCGTGACACCTCAGTAGTGCTGTCTTATCAGTGCCTGCCTATCCGTGCCACCTCATTAGTACTGCCTATAGTGCCCTTTAGTGCTGCCTATCAGTGCCCATCAGTGCCGCCTATCAGTGCCCATCAGTGCTGCCTCATCAACGCACATCAGTGAAGGAGAAAAATTACCTGTTTGAAAAATTTTATAATAGAAACAAAGAAACTTTTTTTTTTTCAAATTTTTTGCACTTTTTGTATTTATAGCGCAAAAAGTAAAGCGCCCAGTGGCGATTAAATACCACCAAAAGAAAGCTCTATTTGTGAGAAAAAAATGATCAAAATTTCATATGGGTACAATGTTGCATGACCGCGCAATTGTCAATCAAAGTGCGGCAGCGCTGAAAGCTGAAAATTGGCCTGGTAAATAAGGGGGTATAAGTGCCTGGTAGGCAAGTGGTTAAGTAACATGTTGCACCTGTCTGCACCTGATTCCCCCCTTGGCAGTGGGCAGGGTCTCTTCTCCCTGCACCCGCTGTCACAATTTAAAAACAGTGGGGCTGTGTGGGCAGAAAGCTGTAGGCCATCTCTGCAGGAGCCTGACATTGCACCTGCAAAAAATATGTGCATTTTTAATTTTTTTTAAAGGTGAACTTGGCTTTCTAAAGCAGTTGTCTGCTTTACCTGTAGATGCATTTAGTGGGAGACAGGCATGAAGAAGCAAAGCATTCACTTAACACGTCCATTGATCAGTTCACACTGACATCAGTGCCATCGTAGTTTAACCATTCAAGGACCGCCTGCCCTCAATGTACTGCGGACGGCCCATGCAGACAAAGCGACATGCTTGTACTGGGGCAGAGGTTCACCTTCCAGCAGGACAACGACCCGAAACATCCAGCCAGAGCTACAATGGAATGGTTCAGATCAAAGCATCTTCATGTGTTAGAATGGCCCAGTCACAGTCCAGACCCAAATCCAATGGAGAATCTGTGGCCAGACCTGAAAATTGCTGTTCCCAGACGCTCTCCATCCAATCTGACAGAGCTGAGCGATTCTGCAAAGAACGGGTAGAAATGTCCCTCTCTAGATGTGCAGAGACATCCCCAAAAAGACTTGCAGCTGGAATTGCAGCCAAAGGGGGTCCTACAAAGTATTGACTCCGGGGGGCCGAATACAAATGCCGCCACACTTTTCACAGATTTATTTCTAAAACATTTTGAAAACCATTTCTCATTTTCCTTCCACTTCACAATTATGTGCCACCATCTGTTGGTCTATCACATCCAATCCCGATAAATACATTGACGTTTTTGGTTCGTATCATCACTAAAGGTGGAAGATTTCAAGGGGTATGAATGCTTTTTCAAGGCACTGTAGCTTTCAGGGCCAGTTCACACGACATGCGTTTCAGTTGCTTTTTTTCTGCATCCAAAACGCACAGAAAGTAGTAGGTGATACGGTTTTCTGTGTCATAGTTCACATCAGTGCTTGCAGTTCCAGTGCATTCCAGTTGCAGAAAAAAGTAGAACAGGCTGCATTTTTTCTGTATTGGGATGCGGTAAAAACGCATCAAAAACACACCGTAACGCACATGTCCCTATTTATATTGGAGAAAAAGAGAGGGGAAAATATTAACTGGAATGCATAAAAAAACGCACCGGAACGCACCAAAAACGGATACAAAAATGCATCCGGAATGCATCTAGACTGCATTTCTATAGTGTGAACCGGCCCTTAGAGCAGACTGTTATTGAATTGGCAGATTCTAGGGTAGAGACCGGTCCCCATCCGTGTAATGTCTCATTGCATTTTAACTACTTCCTGTCTGGCAGAACGTCCGGACGGTGGCGTGCGGAGAGGGTGGACTGTTTATATACGTCCCCCGCATGCACATTTCTTGAGAGTCGCGCCGCGGTCCGGTGCCTGCTGTGTCCTCTGGACACAGTGACAGACACACCCATTGCGTATGGGACTTCTGTGTGAGGTCCCGATCATGTGATCACTGATTGGCCAATCAATGATCACATGCAGAGTAGTAAGCAAGATGTCACTTCTGACATCATTGCTTACTACGTGTGAAATCTGTGAATGATCACAGAGGTCACATGGTACAAAGCTATTCACAACAGCCTTCTACCATATGACAAGCTGTGACCAATCACAGTTCACACAGTCGTTCTCAATGGCTGCAAGAATGCAGCCAGAGAGGAGAAATTATTGCTTTTGCAAGCCTTTATGGGTGTAAAAGCAATCTGTGCAAAAAAAAAAAAAATCTTCATCACCCCCCACAAGTAGTACAGTGTCACCATGGTGACACTGTACTGCTAGGGTGACAGTATGTAAAAAAAATAAATAATATATATATAAAAAAAAAAATGTTTAAAAACTATTATTTTTGGTTATAAACTAATTTGGGTTATTTTATTTTTTTTTTTTTTTTTTTACTAAAAAGATAACGGAATAAATTTTGGCCAAGATTTATGATGAAATATTATTTATTTGCAAAATTTTATAAGAAAAACTTTTTTTTCAAAATTTTCGGACTTTTTCATTTACATAGCAAAAAAAATAAAAATCCCAGTGGCGAATAAATCCCACCAAAATAAAGCTTTATCTGTCTCAAAAAAATGCTAAAACATTGATATGGGTACAGTGTTGCATGACCGCGCAATTGTCATTCAAAGTGTGTTAGCGCTGAAAGCTGAAAATTGGCCTGGAGAGGAAGGAGGGGAAAGTGTCCGGACTGGAAGGGGGGGAAAGTGTCCGGACTGGAAGGGGGGAAAGTGTCCGGACTGGAAGGGGGGGAAAGTGTCCGGACTGGAAGGGGGGGGAAAGTGTCCGGACTGGAAGGGGGGGGAAAGTGTCCGGACTGGAAGGGGGGGGAAAGTGTCCGGACTGGAAGGGGGGGAAAGTGTCCGGACTGGAAGGGGGGGAAAGTGTCCGGACTGGAAGGGGGGGAAAGTGTCCGGACTGGAAGGGGGGGAAAGTGTCCGGACTGGAAGGGGAGGAAAGTGTCCGGACTGGAAGGAGGGGAAAGTGTCCGGACTGGAAGGGGGTGAGAGTGTCCCGGACTGGAAGGGGGTGAGAGTGTCCGGACTGGAAGGGGGTGGAGAGTGTCCGGACTGGAAGGGGGTGAGAGTGTCCGGACTGGAAGGGGGGGAAAGCGTCCGGACTGGAAGGGGGGGGAAAGCGTCCGGACTGGAAGGGGGGGGGAAAGCGTCCGGACTGGAAGGGGGGGGAAAGCTTCCGGACTGGAAGGGGGGGGAAAGCGTCCGGACTGGAAGGGGGGGGAAAGCGTCCGGACTGGAAGGGGGGGGAAAGCGTCCGGACTGGAAGGGGGGGGGAAGCGTCCGGACTGGAGGGGGGGGGGGGGGGAAAGCGTCCGGACTGGAAGGGGGGGAAAGCGTCCGGACTGGAAGGGGGTGAAAGCGTGCGGACTGGAAGGGGGTGAAAGCGTGCGGACTGGAAGGGGGTGAAAGCGTGCGGACTGAAGGGGGTTGAAAGTGAAGCGCGCGGACTGGAAGGGGGGGTGAAAGCGCGCGGACTGGAAGGGGGGGAAAGCGTCCGGACTGGAAGGGGGGGGAAAGCGTCCGGACTGGAAGGGGGGGGGAAAGCGTCCGGACTGGAAGGGGGGGGGAAGCGTCCGGACTGGAAGGGGGGGGGGAAGCGTCCAGACTGGAAGGGGGGGGGGGGGGGGGAAGCGTCCGGACTGGAAGGGGGGGGGGGGGGGGGGAAGTGTCCGGACTGGAAGTGGTTAATAACATCATACACATCATAAAAAAAGTTTTTCTTGCGTTCTTTGAAAAGAATCTAGAATTCCCCTTTAATGTTGATGTTACTGTCTTTGTCATTGTGTTATGTTCCAATTTGGTGTTCATTACTTT